TTAATAAGAAAAGCAGGTTTCCTTTTAACAAATATTAATTAGTTAATGCGCATACTAAACATCACCATGAGTACACTTTCAATGGATAGCAAGTTATATTTTAATTAATAGTACCAAATGGAGAAGACCAGCTTATTTTATACTCATAATGACAGCAAGAAAAGTGAATGGAAATAGTTTCCATGTAATGCATATCCAACCTACTATACGCTTGAACTTTACCCTTAGCTTAATTTTGTTTATTTACCTCGATACAGCTGACAAAGACGCATGTGTAAATCCAGCTCCAAGAAGTGTTCAATCTTCTTTTTCGATTTCTGACATTTTTCTTTAAGGCATTCTGTTTGACCGTTCTGTATTCTACCAAGGCAGTTGCCACAATAAGAGTGCTTCTTCGGTGGAGGTTCGCAAAATAAATCAGCGAAGTACTTCTTCAGTAAGAAAGCGGAAGCCACAAATCTATGGCCAACAGGCAGTAAAGCATGCAATACTTTCACCAAATCAATTAAAGCTTGTCCTGAGAGCTGGTGTCTTAAACTGAAAAGCATCACAAGCACGAGAGCTCCGAGCCGTGATACGCTAGCACCGTTGTAAAGAGGTATATCATCACCTCCCAAATCTTCATTGCTTTTTGCGGGCTCCTCAATAGTGTCCCTTGTTTCATCTTGCTCGCCGTCAAACTCGCTGTCTGAGCTGCAATCAGAACTTTCAGTGTCACTTTCCGATGATTCCTCGCTACTGCAAGCCACAGAATTACTCTCTGGATCAACGAAAAATGAAGAAAATTCATCAACTTCAACTTCGAGATTGGCTGGATCGGAATCACCACTCTCTGTCGTGGAAGTGGGAGGCTGAGTAGAAGACTGATCGCTTTGTAAATAAGTCTCATTCAAAAACGTTAACATCGAATCGTTCTCAAATACACGGCTCGAAGATTGGGCACTTTCTTCGGGATCGATCGACATTCTGGTCGATGAATCAAACGTGGAACATTCACCAAGATTCCCTTTTTCAACTGTTTTGCTTCTCCAAGCTGTAGTTCTGGGAATCTTTGCATTTTTGCAATGCAACCATTCTTTGCGCTTACTTCTGTCGTCTGCCATGAGGACCAAACATTAATGGAAGCGCGAAAAAAAAATCTGATTTTTAAGCGAGAGTCCTGGGTCGAGGTTGCTGATTGGACAAAATCGCTCATTCCCACGTGAAGGGTTTTACTCACCGCCCGAAAATTTCTCACATTACACACGCCTTCACAGCGATCGACACAACGCCCCCAGAAATGTTCAGCAATATGCAACGATCTCAGAGAAAGAGATGTGCTCCTTCCTGGCTCAAACAGAAGCCTTATCTTAAAATAAGGTTTACGCAAGACGGTGTGACCACGAAAGTCACGGAGTCGTGGAGGATCAAACTCAGACAATATAGTCAGGAGTTAAGTGGTTCTCTGGCAAATTACTCGTTTCGTGTTGGCCAAGTTGTCTGGTGCTACTGGAAAACCGCGAATGAAAAGGAAAAGGCTTATTTTGAAGCCCACATTATTGAGGTGTGGGACAACACTGCAGAAGTGTCAGAGATATCATCGACCGAGGTGGACGAAATAAGTTCAGACGAATTCGTCGAGAATAACGACATTGAAGGTGAGGGAGAAATTTCGCACGTCCTATGGGTTAGTTCGGCGCTCAAAAACGTACCGTAGTAAGTTTACTTACGAAATTTAAGTCTGAAATACGTGCTCAGCTTTTAGTTTTCATCGTAAGTTAGACTTTGAAGCAGTCGTTAAGTTCAAAGTTAGCCGGAATTAGTGGGATAATTAACAAACGACAATATTCGTTGTCAATTTCATGTAACACCCTTTTTTTGAAAAGAGCGGCTTATGTGTGATGATCAAATGACAAGTTTCGAAAAGCCGCAAATTGTGATTTGAAGAAAAGCTGATAAAAATTTTTAAATTTTTAAAGTTTAAGAAAAGCTTCACCTCTAACGCTGAAATATATATCCTTCTCAGATGTTGCTGAGGAAGCTTCTCCTAGAAAAAAGAAACGAAAGAACGCAAAAGAAACCAACAAGGTCGCCAAACAACGTGCTGAAAAATCGACCACGAGTATCGACGAAGAGGTAATTACAGTAGATACCGGTATGCTTAGAAGAACCTTTTGCTTCGTTATTAGGAATTTTACGCATTTCTCTGTCCCGTATTCTCTAGGAGAGATGCGAACAAACGTGTCACTCATGGTACTTTATTCATAGGCCGTCAATTTACACGGCAGAAAAAAATCAGGTTCAGACCCGTTCAAAAAGTGGGAATAATTGAGCGGTCAGTAACCGATTTTTCTGCCGTGTACGACCTTTCAGTGCTAAAACAGTAGAACTTCAAAAGAGAGGATAAGGAAATTAAGAAAACCATGGTTTTACTGGGGAAGAACCTGAATCTTCGTATATGTATATTCTCTATTTTTTCTCAGGCAAGAGCTGCTAAACGACAAGCTAATAAGGAAAAGGCAGCAGAAGAAAAAGCCAGAAAGGAAGATAATGAGCAACAGACCAAAGAGTTGCTGGAAATCTCAGATGAAAACATGGTGTGGATATTTCTTAGCATAATGAATACATTGTAAGATCTTATAAAAGCTAGCTTATAAAAGTTTGTTATTATTATTTTTATTATTACTTGATCAGTTTGGACTAATTCCTCCTACATCTGCAGGATATGGTCTTTGACTTTATGCAGCAAATCATGTCTCGCTTGGACTGCCTTGAAAGGAAGATTGATAGAAATCAAGAATATTTTGAAAAACTTTTGAAAAAGATTGAAAAGAGAAAGGCAAGTGCAGAATAACTTCTCATTGTAAAATGAAATGTTTTTCTGTGATAATTGAAATAATTATTGCTTAAAGCATCAATCAGTAAGTAAATAAAGAAAAAATAGTGCAATAATACAATTAAGTTGAAAGCTTAAAAATTCCTTCCAATACCATGATATATACATATATATGATCTGTTTAGAACCTACCACATCTGGTACAAAATTTTTCCAACAATAATATACAGGGCAAGGATACACCAAACATTTGTTACTTAAGCTTTTTTCTTTGGTGTATGTAGTTTCTCCTCAGACAAGTAGACACATATCAACATACAGTTTTATTCTGCATGATACTGAGTGCTATACAATTGCTACAATGTAACTCTTAAACTTCTCTTCTTAACAGAAGGATCATTCACTTCCTGTACAAGTTTTTGTCAGTAAATCTGGTGATGGCACTGAAAGACCTTCCTCACCGAGTCTATCTCAGACAAGCCTTGAGAGTTGTAGCCCTCTGTTTTGCTCAACTCCAAGGGCTGGTCTGCCTGCAGGAACCAGCAACTCGAGCTCAACAAAGGTTACAGAAAGGGAAAGCATCAGTGAAGTTGAGGCTCCCAAAGATAACGAAACATGTGATGATGTTATTGATGACTCCACTGGAATGGAATCTTCACGTTTGGGGGATGAGTTTGGTGAGTTTCAATGAAATAAAATCCCTTCATTGCAAGCACACATTCTTGCCAGTAAATAAGAGTCAAAATGTACTTATTCTTACAGTTTGGGACAGGTGTTTACTTTTATGGGTAACCTCTTGAAGCACATATTATGTCCTGTTTGAACAATCATTGTTGCATAAGGAGTCTGGTTAATAACAATATAAATTATTTTATAAATTGTGTCAATACTATTATTATTATTATTATATTATTATACAGTTCACTATGTCCTGTTTACTTGTGGAAAAAGAAAGCCTGGCTACCCAGCTGTAAATAGTAGTCTGTGAAGTTCAAATTAACTTATTCAAAGATCATTTGGAGAATTTCATCAATCAATTTTATCTATCTTATTAACAGCAATAATTGGAGATCCCAAGTTTGGTGTGAAAACAAGCAAAGAGTGCTTTGACAACATTGTCAATCACTCCCACTCGCCTGCAGCTCTTGCGCTGAACCTCTTGGACAATCTAATTCCAAAAGATGTGCAGCGCATCTCCAATGTAAAGGGAACAAATGGAAAGTCTCCTTTGGACCCAATGATTCTAGCAGCTATAAAAGGTACATGTAACTTAATATACTGCATAATATTTACCCAAGAGTTTTTGTGTTCCATATGATTCCATTCAAATGTTCTACACAATTGAGGTTGTGAAATTATTTACTTGAAAAATTAGGCACCATGACACTTAATAAATTTTTACACTTGTTGAATGTGACATTTACTAAGTTTTGATCAAGGGCTGAGTGAGTGCGTGCTCATGGAACTTGGTAAATGCTAAAACTCAAGGGAGAGTGTTCATTAGGTATTAGAGGCTGGACAATTCTCTGGCCTATATGTGTAATTCTCTGGTTAAATTTTGATGGTATAGCATCCCTGAAGTTAATTTTTTCTCTACGATTCTCCTGTTACTCTATACTATTTTCCTGCTACATGTGCTTCAATTCTTAAAGAAAACCCTTGCTAACAATCAGCAAAAGTTGCAATTGAAGTATTTTTGGCTTCTCGATCCTTTTGTTATATTTTTCATTAGACATAGAAAAGCAGGTACATAGTTGTATATCCTGGAAATATTTTAATTGTACCTCTTTTATATTTCAAGGTCAACTCAAAAGACAATTCAAGTGGACTGAGGAGGAAGTTGAAAAAAACTGGGGAGGAAAAACAGGAATCCAGCAAAAGATTGCCGATAAGTGCAGGAATTTAAATAAGTCCAACAACAAGTCCAAATAGACAGTCTCATAATAAGAAATCAGAATTTTAATCACTAGCTTCTTCGTCTAATTTTTTATAACATGAATTAAGGTTTTGTTTTTCTTGTATTCTTTCATATACAGCCAATTTTTAAAATTTTGAGCTTTAACACTGTTAATGGACTGTATAAATCATCTAGAAAAAGTAATATGTTAAGTTTTGTTTTGTTATTCTTTATAAAATGTTCAGTTGCTTATTTTTTTAAATGAAACAACATTAAACACATGCTTGTTAAATGTGAAACTGCAAATAAATTGTGAGATCTTTATCACATTTAGTCTGTGTATTCATGTAATATTTGAATCATGTACGATCAACAGCTTGGGTAAGATAATGGGATGCCACTAAAGGTGTCAGTATATTCTACAGCTATATAGTTGGAAAGCTTTGGACCCTCAGTGGATTGACAGGGTCTATTGCTCATCTAGAAAGTTTTGTACTCTTAATTTGAAGGATTGGGTTCCAAAGGGATTGGTAAGATATTCTTTTTGGTATATTTTATAACTCTGTGGTCTCTGGTGTTATATAGGCAGGATCCCTCTAAGGATTTTTCCAAAAATGTTAAGTTGGAAGCCATCTGTAATTTTAGGCAGAGTCCAAACTAGGATTTGCAGGATCCCAGGTGCAATCCCGCCTGCAATATGATTTACCAGGTGGGATCCCAAGAAGGATTTGTGGGGACCCCATGTGGGACGTTCCATAATCCCAGGTGGGATCCCATGTGGGACGTTCCATA